CATAAAGGCAGGCAGGAACATAGTACAGAGAAGCTGAAGCCAGACTTTAATCGTTCTACCAACATGGTAGGCCTTGCTGTTGAGGCTGTTCCAGACAAGACTGGAGCAGAAACGGGCTGGAAATGTGAGTTGAGTGGTTCCAGCTCTACAGCTCTGAACCCCTCCACCCCTCCACCTGAGGAGGGGCCACGGAGCCATTTCAGGGACTTGGATTTCAGGATCTGGATTGTGGGGTCAAATGATGGACCAGTCGGCCTGGTGGGAGGGCCCCTTTCCACCTGATTTCATAGTTTCTCAGTTTGTAAAGACAGGTACAAAGAGATGTTTCTTTACTCTCAAGCTTCAGTTGTATCAGAACCAGCTGACGGGCTTAGCAAAACCCAGACTGCTGGCCATGCTCCCGGAGTTTCTGATTCCAGAGGTCAGGGGTGTGGCCAGAGAATCTGTATTTCTAACAAGTTCTCCTGATGCTGCCATCATTGGCTTCCATGAGGGCGCCCAGAGAGTAAACAGTCAGGGGGGCTGGCAACCTGACCCTGGGTTTCAGGTAACAGGGCATGGGAGGAGGGTGGTAAACTAGAGAGACCCCCCTCAGGGGGCAACCATGACAGTGTCCCAGGGATCCACATTGTAGGAATACACCAGCACCTAGCATTTTCAGTAGTACTGATTTTTTTTTTGTGGGGGGGAATAAGATTAGGCAGAAATGTGAATTTTTTTACATGAAATTTTACCATCTTTGGCAATCATTCACAATTGACTGTGAAATTTTCCAAATATTGGTCAGGCAGGCCAAGTAAAATATATCTGCAGGCTGGATTTTCATTCTCTGGCTGCTGTTCTGGAATATAAATAAGGTTCCCAGGCACAAGACAGGATCAGAGATCTCTGGGAGTCCCTGGCTCTTTGGAGAGGAATGTGGACCTCACCACGCCTCTCCTCACTCCCTGTGCTTTTCAGGGCTTCATCCGGGCCCCTGCTGGGGAACACTGCCTGCCCTGACCACACCTCAACTCTAGCCACTCTGAAGTCTTTGGGGCTGCACCTCTCTCATCTCTGGAACTCCCAACCAGGCCTTTCCTGACCCCCGGGTCTCTATGCATATGTTTCCCTCTGTCTGGAATGTTCTTATTCCTTTTCCACATCTGACCTAATTCTTACTTGTCCTACAAGGCCTCACTTAGTTGTCACCTCCTCTGGGAAACTTCCCTGACCACTGGTCCACCTCAGTCCTGCATTCCCCAGTCTCCTCTACTTCCATGGATACCCTGTAATGGCCGGAAGCTGTGTGTCTTTCTCCTCCACTGGTCTGGGTGCTCCAAGAGGCCTGCTGCTTCTCTGTCTCCAGGGCTGAGTTTCTGGTTTGGTAGGGGACAGGTCTAAAGGACTATTTACCAGTGTTCCTCTCTTGGCTTTGACCTTCCTCTTATCTTTCTGTTTGTCTAGCTACTTCCTGTCTATCTTTCAAGCCACAGTTCAGACTCCACTTCCTGTGGGACCCTTTCCTAACCTCCCGGTGCTGGCAGGGGTCCTGTACAGCCCGTCCTCCCAACATGAGCACACATCGCATATTATTGGCTGCTCTCGTGGGTGCTCTCTACGCCTCACTACAATGAACTCTGTGAGGGCCACAACTTTGCACAATTCATCTCAATAACAGGGGCTGCAAACTAAGCATACTGCGTGGAGGGCACACCTGAAAACTTGCAAGACCGACAGTGGAATGGACGCTCAGATGAATGAATGATCCCAGGTGAGAAATGAAACCCTTTCAAGTATGCTGGGAAGAACAGGGTAGAGAGTCAACCTGAAGCTGAGCATAAATTGGTCTCCTGCCCACTGGCTGGTGGGCAGTGGGGAAAGTTCCAACTTGCCCAGCATTGCTAGGGGCCCTAGAGACCTCAACCAGTGTGGCCTCTTGGCAGGCAGCTTCCCTTAGCACACAGCCTCCAGCTCTGTAATTCTACTACCCTGCACCTTCCTCCCGTCATGCCCTTCGCTGTGTGCCCCATCCAGCTGGTGGCCTGGAAAGGGGGCTTCCCTGCAAAGCGGACCTCAAGGACAGGCCCGAGCAGAGGCACCGTCCTCCCCACAATAGGCAACAGTAAGGGAATCCCCTGAGTCCCGGGACAGCAGAATTAACCCTGAGTCCTGAACAGTTCTATCTCATCTTCCGGGAACCCCAGGTCTGCTCACCTGCCACTATCCTAATGCTGGATCAGGAAGCAAAGGAGGCCTCCAACAACAAGTGCTGGAGAGGATGTGGAGGGAGTGAATCCTTTGGAAAAGGGTAACACATTGTTGGTGGCAAGGTCCACTGATGCAGCTGTTTGTGAAAGCGCTCTGGACCTACTTTAAACGACTAAAAATGAAAATAATCATGTAATCCAGCAATCTCACTTTTGGGTGTCTATCCAAAGAATGCAAAGCCAGCACCCCCACCCCCCACCCCAATTACATGCTCTTCAATGTTTATTGCAGTGTTGTCTCCGATAGCTGCGATTTGGAAGCCACCTCAGTGCACACTAACAGAGGAGCAGACAAAGCAGTTGTGATAAAGCCACACAATGGGATAAACTCTTCAGCCGTAAGGAAACGTGAAATGCTAGAGCCAAAGGAAGGAGGCTGCGGTGTAGCAAAATAAGTCAAGATAGTGGATCATTTCATATATGTGAGTAAAATAAGGAATCGTGGTGGAAGTCAAGGCAAGATAATTGTGTGCAGACACTAATAACCAGAGTAAGGTTTCTGGACTTTAGAGGAAAGAAGAAAGGGCTAAAGGGGTAGGTGGTGGGAAAAATTTATATATGTACCCCTTTTTCTTTAAAAAAGAAAGATAAGGAGGAAGCCACATGCCCTTCCTCTGTGTCCCAAACCTCCCAGCCACGCCTTTGCTTTCTGTTAAGCACAGAAATCCTCTTTCTGGGGTCCTCTAGGTCACCACCAGTGTTACTGTGTGCCGTGTGTCGTCTCCATCACGGAGGCTGGACTAGCGCAGGGCTAGTACCTGTGCCTGGGGCAGCGGTCAGCTGGTGAGGTGGGGAGAACAGTAGGTTCCCTGCACTCATGCACAGCGGCTCAGGGCTGATGGACCAAATTCAGATCCTGACTCTGCCACTTACTGAGCCCCCCTAAGCTCACAGGAGAAACTCTGCCTCTGTTTATTTACTTGTAAAATGGTGTTGAAACGGTGTGGTGAAGACTCAGTGAGTTAAAATAAAACTCGAACAGGTACGTGGTACATAGTAAGCAGTGGGTGATATTAACTAGTGTTGCTGAGTGATCAGTAAACATTAATGGATAGAAGGGGAGAGAAAAAGAAGATTATTAGCCAAGGACAAACCAGCACATTCCAGAGGCTGCTGTGACCCAAAGTAAACAGACATTTGCCATGTCTGTGAGGACAGAATAAGCTGGAGACACGGTTGCTCTTGGGTCTTAGGGTTCTACAGAGCAGCTAGGGAGCAGATCTTGGCTGTGGTCAGAATGGCAGGGTCCCCAGCTCTGGAGGCAGGCCCTGGCGGTAGGTTTCTTTTCCCATTGTGAGGCCTTGCTGCAGAAGAAGAGGCCTTGGGCCTTTGACAGGCACACCCTGGCATTTCCTTAGAACAATAGCATTTTTCTCTATAAGTGGCCTCTCGGAAGCTACCCCATCTTCCACCATCATTCCAAACACCAGATTCACACACTCACTCCTGACAGCACTCGATGAATCAACAAGGGGTGGGGGTGGGCCAGGCCCGGGGCTCGGGTTCCCAGACACACACAGACACTCCTTTAACCACAGGTCTAAACAAACAAGGCCATCTGGTTTTTGCAAAGACTATGAACAGAAAGGAGCCTGGCAGAGAGCAGGAGTGTGGGCTTCCAAATCCGAAAGCTTCTGGTTCAAATCCCATGTCATACAAGTCTGTTCCCCTGTCGGGAATCTCAGCCATTGCATAATACAGGGTTACTAATCCTTCCTGCATGGACTGTGGTGTAAAAAAATTAACCAAGAGTGGCCCCTTGGTAAACGATGGGAGGGGGAGGAGGATATCACCCAAAGTGAGAGGTCTCCTTGCGGGTGAACGTAAGCTCGCTCTGGACCCAAGACTGTGAGAGGAAGATGGGGTGGGGTGCATCCTGACCTCCTAGGGACCTGAGAATGTTGAAGGAGGCCTAGGAATGACCTCTGGACTCTGCTGTGGCAGCATTAATTGGGGTCTCCAGGTTACCAGCTTCCCAGCCCTGGGACAGCAAGGTCCTCTTCCCTCTCTTCTCCCCAAACCCCTACCTCCAAGGCAGCTTCCTCTGCGCTGGGCCACAGAGGCTTTGACCTACAAAGTAGGTGTTGGTTGGGCAAAAGGTTCAAAGGAGGGATGGGTGGAGAAGGGGCTGGCCAATCGCCAAATCCCATTTTTAGCACGAAGAGGGACAAGTCAGAGAAGACTTCTGGCACTGATCCTCATACTCCCTGCTTCATAGATTGGTTCCATGCCAGCACAGATAGACAGTAATACCACAAAAGAGCTCCTTATTTTTTCTCTGCCTTTCTTTTCTTCTGCCTCCACCAGCCCACAGTACAACCAGAGAACAATCAACAGATATGCCTGGAACTCCAGACAAGCTATTATTGCCTGGCGAGGCTACTGTGGACATGTTATTTACTTCAGTAGTCTGAGCCATTTTCCTCATCTGTAAAATGGGTAAACTCACACCGTCCTCAAAGCTGTGAGGATTAGGGGTTGTGTAGTGCAGAGGTCTCAGTGCAGGACAAAGCTGGGCCTCTAGAACCTGCTAACTAGAACCACCTGGCTTGGGTGGAAGGGGATTCTGGAAGAGCAGGTACTGCCTATCCTGAGGGCTGAGAGTGCCAGGATCAGGAAAGTTCCCTAAGAACACAAGGGCCCCTTCTACCATCAGATGAATGAACTACTCGGGTCTCTGGGCAGATGAACTAGTGGGGTTGCTGGGCAGGCCCCTAGGTAGCAGAGGGTATGCTTGATGCAAATCCTCACCATACACTTGCGGTCATCTATGCCCGTCAGATCTTCCTCAAACTCCTGCCCAACTTGGAAGTCCATGATGTAGTTCCTGAAAGTGCTCAGCGTGCGGATGATCATATGGTCGCCCTCTTGGACGATCTCTTTGTCTGGCTTCAGCAAATTGGCGATTTTGCGCAAGGCCACATTGACGTCTGCATGGGGGTTCAAGGGGTTCAAGGGGGAAGGACAAAAACTCAGACAACTATTTCCAAGGAATGGGTCCCCAAGGGCCCCATCCCAACCCCTCCAAAACCTCCAAGACTCCAGGCAGTCTCTGTGCTCAGCCTTTCTGTACCTTTTCTTTCTTTTTTTATTGCAACAGTTTTTCTGCCCCATTGTTAACGTTTTAAAAACAAAAACGAGCAACCCTAGTCTAGGTCCCTAATGAAATTACCCACGTCTAGAGTCAAAGATCAGAGCCAACTTTTGCCACCCATTATCCCTAATCCCTGATTCTGTGATTCGAAGGCTGCTAGCCACCGTCGGAGGGGTGGCAGCGGGCGCCTTTCTGCTGTCCAGGGGAACCAGGCGACCGCGGGCTCAGTGGGCTCTGGCAAGAGGCCCGGAGGGGTGCCCGGGCCGAGAGCGGGGTGGTGGGGGGCAGCGGCTTACCCAGCGCGCGTAAGTACTCCTCGAAATTCTCGTTGCTCAGCATCTTCCAGTACCCGTTGAAGTCGACCGGCATTTTGGGGCGCCACTGGGACCCGACAGCGGGGGAATAGGCGGGAGCAGCTGTCGCCTCTCGGGGTGGCGGCTACGAAGCTATCCGGGTGGCAGGCGGCCCGGAAGTGTGCGCCCTTCGGGGGCAGGGGGCTCCGAGGGGCGGCGACAGCTGGATTCCAAGTGCGTACAAAGCCCCAAGGAGGATCCATTGTAGCCGTCGCTCCTCCCCCGAGCAGGGGCGGGGGTTGTCGGAGCGCCAGGTTAGTCCCTGGCCCGCGGCCGCCTTCTGGAGACCTTCGGTTGCCTTCGCTGTGAAGGAGGCGGCGGTGTGTGTGGGGACCCGGAAGGGGGCGGCCAGGACGCTTCGCGGGCCCCAAGTTTTCGGTGCCTGCGGGATTCCTTCAAACACCATGAACTTCTTACATTCGGTGGCCGCTTGAGGAGGGAAACAGCTTCCTGGAGTGGTTGGAAAGAGGCCACTTAGAGGTCTTTGTCTGCATCCCTGCGCTTTGGACATCCCCCCCAACCCCCCACCTCCCGCGGGGTGGCCTCCTGGTGGGCCGCCAGGATCTGGAAAGCTGGGGAGTTCCACTCTGGGCGAGAAAAGGGGGGCGCTGACCAATCTCTCCCTCCAATAAAAGTATGGCTGATGCTGTTTGAAGTTAGTAGCCAAATAGATCCATCCTCTGGGCGGTTCTGATGCACTACCGAGTTGAGATCCACTCTTTATGCAAATATAAGTAATTAGCAATATGCTTTCTACCGGTTCTTTCCTCCTCTGTCACCACATGGCAGAACGGTCGCCACAGTTTTCTGCACTTTGAGTTTTTCATATTCCGGAGAGCCTTTCATAGCTGTACTTAGAAAGTACCCTCATTCTTTTGCAGGCCAGTCCATTGTTTATGCAGCTGGCCTCCCCCTTGAACCTTTATGTTGCTTCAGTTCCTGCACTGTTAGCAGCAGTCTCGCAGTGAAGAGCTTTGATGACATCTCATTTCCCACCTGGTGGGGATGTCATAGCACTTTAAAACGTCTGTCTTTGCCAACAAGGAGATGACATAATTGGGCGGGTTGACTCTTTGACCCGCTATTAAAGACTAAATATCTCTTTTAAATTGCTTTTTGCACAAATCACTGTCTAGGTGACAGCAGGCCCTTTCTCTTCTCTGGCGCTGTTAGAGTCCCCCTACTCCCCATTAGTCCTCACACTGCTGCACCTCGCTGAGTTAGGAAAGGGTGCTTGGGGGTTGGGGAGGAAGGCAGCTTCGCCCCAGAGAGTGACTTTGCTCTACACCAGGGCCTCTCAACTTTACAAACACTGACATCAGAGCCTGATCATTCTTTGTTTGGGGGGAGGGGACGTATTATAGGGTGTTTAGCAGCACCCCTGGTTTCTATCCACTAGATAGATGCCAGTCAACATCTCCCATAAATGTCTCCAGACATTGCCAAGTACAAGAGAGGGGGTGAATTCCGCCCCCCTAGTTAGAAGTCACTGTTCTAGACAATTGTACCCCATAGCCGGCCATTTCCCATCTCTCCTCACCTAGCTCTGGGGTGCTCTGTCAATCAGTTGTTAATACGGGCCCTGGTTTATCATCCTTCCTTAGCAGGCCCAACCAATGCTTAACTCAGCCCTGTTTAACTGAAAATTCAAGATGCCTCTGTGGCTCAGCTAGGTGAAGGACTGGGTCCTGGTACTGGTCTTCCAGGCAATCAGGACCAGCCACTGACTGGGTTTCTTTATCTGTCACACTTCCCAGAACAAGGGATCAACCGAGTAGATTAATTGGCCATTCCCTGGTCATCCGCAACTACTCCAAGCCCCTTTCTCTGCTCCCCACACCACCCAGCTCAGCCAACTGGATTTCTCACCCTTCTCAACCTTCTTCCTTTGTGCTGAGTCTCTTGAGATAGTTTATAGCAAACACCCACCACATCACCTGCTATGGTGCCTGTGAGTTCTGCCAGGCCCAGGGTGGCCCCTTCCTTTTCCAGGCAGAGGCCTAATGCTCCCTCACCTCTCTGGTCTTCCCCCGTCCATCTCAAAGAACCAAGGAATAACAGGGGTCCCCTCTCCTGGCTGTGCTGTTTTTTTGCAGTTGGGGTTCGGCTGTTTTAGAGGCAACAGCTTGGTTTGAAGCTGGCTCTTTCACTGTCCAGCAGAGTGATCTTGGGTAAGTTGGTAATCTCTGTGTCTAGGGGCTTCGTTCCCAGATCTGCAGATTGGGGACTCTCTACTACCTACCTCTCAAGGGGGTAAGGGGCTCAGGAAACAAGGGATTTAAAAGGGTGTGACAGAGAGTTCTGGTCCAGATACACTGTGGTCAAAGCTGGAGGGAAAAGGCAGGGAGAGAGGCTCTGGTCCCTCCTGGGCCTTAAGTTCAGTGCACTGAGTTGCAATGGAGAGTGCTCTGTGGCTGCATCAGGCATCATACCGGCTTTCCTTTCCCAGCTCACTGTCATGCTCAGTTGAAGCCATTTATCAGTATTGTTGGGGCTCCCTTCTGTCAGGGGAGATATCACTGAGCTGTCCCAAGCGAAGAAAGGATGACTGAGGACAGTGTGTAAAGGAGAGGGGTCTGTGTGGGCTCCCCTGGAGGCATGAGGCTGTCGCTGGCTGAGAGGCTGAGAGGTGAAGAGGAGGGGAGACTGGTTTGGGAGGCAGGCCACAGCCAGCAAAGGACGGCGTGTTATCACGGAGAGACAAAGCTGTAACCACTTTAAGGAAAGAACCTGACCCAGTCTGCAGAACCATATTGAAGCAGAAACTCCCAGTTCACCTCCCCCAGGCACCCTTCACCCTGGGGACTCTAGACAAACCCTCTCATCCGGAACTCAGGGGACACCCTCAGGTTGACTCGCTTCATTCACTGGCCTTAAAGAAGAGCAGTCGAGATCCACGGCTAGTCCTCAGAGCAGGAAGACAGGCCAGTGGAGAAGCACTCTGAGGTGCTGGGTACACCAGTGGTGGGACTTGCAGGCCCTGGGCTCTCCTGGCTGTAAAAAGATGCGTGAAAGTCAAGGCCCCCAGGGTAGGCTTCAGTGAGCATAGCGGGGAGAACACAGAGAAGGGAGGAAATGGTACCTTTTCATTCTTTCGTAGATCAGTCTGCTCCCTGAACTTATATGACAGCTCAGAGAAACATTTCCATGAAATTCCTCTATTGCCCATGACTTTGTTAATCCTCTTGTAGGAGCAGACTTATCCGTATGTCAGTGAGAGTCTCTACAGTAGGACTTTAAAGGGGCTGGAGGATAGAGTCCAGGCATGGACCCCAGAGGGCCAACTTGTGAGATGCTGGGGCAGGAGTGCACCTGCACCTGCCAGCCCATTCCCGCCTCTATCCAGAGACAGGAGTCTGGGGCAAATCTCCCTGCAGGGGACAGGGCCTGGAGCTATAAAGGAAGCCTTCCTCAGCTGACTGCCACACCCTTCTGCTCTTCTCCAGGGCACATTTTATTCTGGAGACTTGCAGAACTTCCTCGTTTCCTGTTTTCAAATGTCTGTAGTTAAGTTATGGAAAACCATCTGTTCTAATCTCCTGGCTGCCAGTGTCCCTGAGTTCTGCACGACAGGGCTTGTCTAGAGGCCCCAGGGCGCAGGGGCACTGAGGTCTACCGGGGATGCCCTGCGCAGATGGGTTCATGAATATGCCAGTATGCAAATGACACACTTGTCCACAGACCTCAAAATGCTGGACTGGGGCAGTGACCTGGGGGTTTCTGCTTCAATATGGTTCTGCAGGCTGGGTCAGGCACTTTCCTTAAAGACATTTGTCTCTACAGGTTGTGACTTAGGCTGCAGGGTTTCTTTACCACCCTACCTCCTCTCTCTTGCTCTTTCCCTTCCTCGCTCACTCCTACCCTTATTTACTTGCCACTTTTATTATGGAGAATTTAAAACCCATATAAACAGAACAGTATATTGAACTCTGTGAAAGTCATCAGCAGCTTCAATGATTATTAATCCATGAATGATCTTGTTTCATCTGTAGCCCTGGCCCCCCGTTTTCCACAAATGTTTTGAGGCAAATACTGGCCATCACATCATTTTGTCTGGAAACATTTTAAGAACTATCATATCTCTAAAAGACAGATTCATTTACAAAAACAAACAAACAAACAAAAAACATTATCACAAGTGAAAAACCAGTAACATTGGGCCCTACCTGGTGGCGCAGTGGGTTAAAGCATAGCATAAAGAAGTAAAGAAGCTGGGGCCACTTCAGCATGAGTTTGATCCCCGCCTGCCCAGGAGGTGACCCACATGGCACAGCAGACCTCTCCTGACCTGCCCGCTGCTCCCCTCAGCAGTGTACTTCGTCAGTCAGCCTGTTCTGCTCCCCACTCTGTCTCTGGTGAATCCTCTCACTGCCCCTGCACCTTTGGCCTGTGCCCTAGTTCTGTAGGCACAAATAAATAAATCTTTTAAAAAAAAAAGAAAAACCAATAATATTGATTCCTAAATACCATCAAATGTCCAGAAAGTACTCACTTACCTCATGACTTTTCTCCCCCAATTGTTTGAATTGGGATCCAAATAGTTTTCACATATTGCCATTGATGGATGTTTTTTCTTTTATGGCTTATCCTTTCAAAATAAATATTTCCTATCATCATGCTTTTCCTTTCTTAAGTAAATGGTAGCATACCATAGACTATTTTTGGTAACTCAAAGCGCCCTGAAGCTCACTCACAGTACCACAGGGCAACTTCCTTCTCCTTGCTCCCACAGCAGCTGGGGGCTCCTCTGTGCATGGAACCTCCGTCTGTGGAGCTGGTCAGGCTCCAGGATGGTGGTGCTGCCAGGAGTTGGCTGTAACAAATACAGGTAACTACAACAAAATACTGACAGGCAACGCCACAGTCAGCGGGTTGTCTTTCTGCAGTTTTGTGAGGGTGTCTCTGGATGGGGTCATAGCAGAGGGCGCTGCATGTCAAGGGCCGTATTGTCAAGCCCTTTGCTGGGTGCAGCTGAATTTCCCACCTTAGGATTGCACCATTTCACCTTCCACCAGCAAAACAAGGTTGTGCCTGTCTCCTCAGGCTGGCTAATGGATGATCTTGCCAAGCGCTCAGATTTTGCTAGATAAGAAAAGTATCTCCGGGTGGGCTGCATTTGAATTTGGGGAGAGTTTTGATATGAAGAAGTGAGCAGCTATTTCCTTTTTTAGCTGGGATTGCAAAAGCCCCAGCTGACTGCTGTGT